AAAAAAAAGAGGTGCAAACATGCCTGTTTTCCCCCTGCAGATAGCCTATAACATTTTCGTGCATCAGAGGTCAACCTGATCACAGAAAAAGAATCAGAAGTTGGCAGGAATAGCCAACCTGTGAGACAGGCAACTGCTCCCCTGGTTTTTCTGAATGTCAAGTCAATGAAAAGCAAGTGGGCACCTACTGCAGGCCGCCACGGCTCAGTTTCTCCACTGTGGGTTGGCAGGATGTATATAAACCACAGTGTTGAAACAAGTTGTACCGTGGGGCAGCGCTGAAAGATAAATACCTGCCTCTGTCCTCTACCTTATTGTCTGAGCTTCAGCCTAGACTCATCAGTCCTCATCTGAGCTATCCTCCGATTTTTCGTCGGCAGCCACTTTCCAGTTCTTCCTCTTGCTCCTCTTCTCTGGCACCTCAATTTGCCTCTCTGACACAGAATTGTGACGTTTCTTTCTCTTTTTTGGGGGCCGTTTCTCTTTTTTCTCCTCAGATTCAGTGTCCTCAGAGCTGCTGGTGGTTGAGCTGCTTGCATGAGAAAAGTCACTTTCCCGCCCAGAAGAGGTGGGTTCCCTGGCAGGCACTTTCCTGGTCTTTTTCTTGCGCTTGTGTTTCCCTTTCCGGGTGCTTGAAGTCTCCTCTTCTGAGCACTCGCTCTCCCAGGAAGAATCTGATGATGTTCTGCCTTGCTCCTTTTTCTTTTTCTTTCGCTTTTTGTGTGATCGCTTTTTTTGCTTGTTCTTGTGCGATTTCTTTGTTTTTTTCCGTTTGTGTGACTCACGGGCAGTTTGCTTTCCCAGATGAGATTTCTTCTTCCCATTGATAACATTTTTTTCATCTCCCTCTTGTTGGTCACTGTAAAAAGAACAAAGGATGACCAAAAGGAAGCAGACGAGCAGGCACAGGAGCCTTTTCTGTCTCAAAGTTTTTAAGCAAGTCCATCAATTCATTTGGCTAGAGCAGGGAAGCAGATGCTTTGACAGATGCAGTTAGCTGCATTTTTGTTTCAAGTGCTTATTAACAGCTTGGGTCCACACCCTACTAATACCACTGTCTAAGATATTTGAGCAAGAACCAAGCAGAATGTGTACTGAAAGCCACTGAGTGATGAAAACTCATTTATAGTGGGTTACTTCAAATCTGTAAGCCTGACAAATATTGTACTGGATGATTCTGTTAGGTGTAGTTTAAAAATAATTAATTCTAAGATCTTATTTTACAGTTAACTCTCCACTCTCCAGGACACTGCAAGAATTTATAGTCTACAAATAAGGAGAAACACAGAAAATACAGGTACACTATAACGGAAAGGAGAACCTGGAGCTGGTATTTGAGAGGGTGTGTACTGAGCTGACTTGAATTCAGCCTCCTACTCTGGCTCTCTGTCGGCCCAGACAGACCTTCCAGATTCATAGCATTTTAGCAACACAGACTAAAGCTGAGTGACTAATTACTATAAAAGATGCAATCCCCTCCTAAGACTCAGACAAGGGGGAACCACATTAATGAACTAGATTTTTTTCAGTAGGTGTCTGTAACTAAACAGTACTGCTTTACATTCAAGGCTGATCTATACTCAAAACTTTAAACTCAGTTTGTAAAATTCCCTGCATAACCTGACAGCAGTAAGATTCTGGATACATTAGTAAGCCTGGTTGCCTTACCTATCTGTATCAAATTCTTCAGGATACAACTCTTTATAGCCACTGTGACCCCACCTGTAAGAAAGCAGAACCATCTATCAGAAACAGACGAGGTGTCTAAGGAAGAAATGTAACTCTGAAAAGGCAGAGCCACAGAATGAACATGAGTTTAGATAGAAAAGAAGGGCTATCAGAACCTTCCCAACAAAGGAGGAAGGAAATATGACTGATTTGGTTGATACTATTTAAATACACCTTATGTTCTCAAGTCTCTTCCATTTCTAATTAGGGAAAAGTACAATTCAGGTTTCTTTAAAATAACCCTGGAGAGCACTAACTTGCATTTCTTGAGATTTTTTTAAGTTCTCTAGGCAAAGTAATAAATACTAAGCTTAGTTGCTAAGCTTAGGGCTGAGCTTCTGCTGCTTACTGTGACTTTGGAACTCTATAGATGAACTGAAATGAGGTATTCTGTGACACTGCAAAAATTCGTGCACTTTACTTACTCTCAAAATGAGATCAAGCACTATTCTATAGGAGTACTGAAAAGAGAAATGTACTAACTTTTTGGTACAGGACTCCAGAAAGGTATTTTAATTACAGTTATAATCACAGAACATTAATTCCCCCACAGACCTGTCTGGCATGTTGGCTTCACATTCATACAGCTTTTTATTCCAGGATCGGGCCCTAAGGAGATCATCTTCAACTGGGTCAAGAAATTGCGAGTTCCTTGTTTTCCAGTCAGCCCTGTGGCCCTCCTCATCAAAGCCATCGCTGCGCATCCGACTGCTGCAGAAAGAGAACAGTTGTCCTTGAGCTGTCAGCTCTGATTGAGAAACTTTCTGAGCAAGGGGTTAGTCCAGGGAGAGGAGCAAAAATCCAGCAAGTCTTGGATGTTCATCTATGCAAGAAGACCAGCTATCATTTTAACAGACAGTCACCATTATCAGCTCTCACAAAACCAGTTCAGTAGCTAACACTGGTTTTCTAAACTTACTACGGCCCTCTGTGCGCAGCAAAATTCTTGACAGAGATGCTCGCAGTGCAAAATTACAGGAAGGGGTTATCTTGCCTATCACAACAAACACAGCTCTCTTCCTCTAGAGTACTCTGAAGGAATAGACTAACAACATGTACTGAGACATAGGCTAGTAAAAGCAGCAAAGGGGAAACTGAAGAAGTAGGACTGACTTACTAGGATTGCAATTTGGTCAGGTACCAAGACTAAGACCCCAAATCCACAGAAAGCACCGATAGTTTTGAGTGATCTCACACGCCTGTGGCTCTAGTTTTGTTTCTCACTTTGAATGCCGCACTTCTTGAGCTAAGCAGCAGCTGTGGACTTAGCATAAGTCTGAAAGGTGTTCTCCCCTGAGGTACTAAAACCACTTCCTGCAACATTCATGCTTCTGAGAAGTCTTCACAGTAGTAAGCACCCCTCTGCAAAACCCCAACCCTCCCCCTCAAAACCCAGCTTGTTTTCATCTTGTGAGATCCTCAGGCATGTCAGAATGATTTAACAGGTAGCACACAAGCAGCGGTCAATACTGGTGCAGGACTCCACGCCACAACAGGTTTTTTTACTGCTAACCTAAATGGCAATACTTTCCTCACAACATTCTGACGTATTACTTAAGCACTTCCTACTCCCGTTGCTTCAGAGAGCCCGGCCTACTTAATGTTGTATCTTGAAGACTATACATCTAGATGAAGAGACGAAAGGTCAGACTTAAGCACAGGTCTAACCTCTTTCCAGGGACTCCTTAAGGAGAAAATAAATACATCTGTAGTCTATGTAGTCTTCACAAATTGTAAACACATAGTCATCACAGAACGCTCTTAAAGTGTTATAACACAAAAGGGTTCAGCAACTAAGTCAAGATAGTTACCTTCTCCTCGCAAATGAAACCCACCTGGAGGTGTCTGACAGCATTCTGCTTTGCCTTTTCCAGTAAGTCTCTTCTGTCTGCTTCTCCCACTCCCTTATTTTCCACATTTCGGTCTCTTCCTGAATCTGAAAGTCACAGAAAGGAAACAAGTGTAACATTAGGGAAACTTTACAGACAGGTAGTGTGTAATGTCAGCTCCTAGCTCAACACTCCTGCTAAAAAAATTCATGGCAAGCTTTCCTACCGTACTGAAACAGATTATTATTTCTAGCTATAACCAAGGTAACCATCTCTTGATGATAATACTCTAACAAGCACATGAGGATAACAGCATCAGAAATAGTGGGTTTGCCTGATTTTTTTCTCAGCTGTTCTGGCTACCCTGCCTTGTCTTTCATTATCATCCCAAACAGACATACCACTAGAGAATTTAGTATATAAATACCATCCGAAAGGACCAAGCCAAAATGAGAAGTTACGCTACAGGCTGAAAAAACACAGCATGCAAGTACCGAGTGGTTTGGCACAGATTTACATTTATAGACACTGACTGTATAGGAGTGATTTTATAAACATATGAAACAAATTAATTGGACCTGCTGAATTATGTCAGAAATTAATTAAATAGTTTGCTAAAGTTAACGGAGTTTCTTAATCTTGCGCTAAAATATTGCCTGCACACCTGAATACAAAGTTCAAATTCTTTGATGCAATTAAAAGTACGTACTCAGTACAGCAAGAAACAAAAAACACCCAATTAAAGGGTTGATACTTTTAAAAAGGCAGGCCGTAACTTTCAGCAAAGTCCTGAGTGACTAGGTTTTTCCATTGGGCAAGTTTTATAGGTAAATATACATACGCATTCCCTCGCCAGGATGAGAACTCATGAAAAACAGGGCTAAACTGAAAGCGAGACTGAGGATGTTTAGGTGGCTGATTGCAACAAGCAGCTTTTCCTCTCCGAAAAACGCACCTGCTCCCCCCCCCGCCCCGCCAGATCGCAG